ATATGTAAACTGCCCTTTTTGACGTAGCTTCATGGTTCAACAACCATGGTTTTGACAAATACAGTAATTGCTATAGTTGTCCTTTTTGCAATGAGGGAATATGACTAGTTGAGATGGTTTCACCTCAAATATAGCCAGTTTAATAGCTGGCCAGCTTCCAACATGACTTAGAGGCCCTCTATTGTACTGTTTTTCATCAATATATCACAGGTCTCAGATATATCCAGAACCTGTCTCTGATTGGCTGAAACACCAAACAGGTCATTGCAGCATTACCCATAATCCCCTCTGTTTCAGCCCTGTTTCAAAAGTGCTGATTCTCTGTCTGTTACCTTAGATGAAAATAAGGAGCCCCTCCCCACGCCCCTCTGAGAGAGATTTGGTTAAAAAGAACACAATGGTGCTCTAGGAGGAGATTCAGGTGATGTGTGTGTGGGGGGGGGGTTACCTTGGTTGGTTATTGGCTAATGGTTACACAAGCCCAAAACAATCGTTATGACATCATAAAGTGGCCAAAATCTGATCAGCTCATTTTCAGACAGGTTTTTATACAAATAGATCAGGACAAAAAGAGAGGGGGTCTTTTTTCCTGAAACTTTCTGAATCTCTGTACACAGAGCGAACACATGTTGGTGTAGAAAAGACATGAAAAAGTGCATTTTACATGATAGGTACCCTTTAAAGTGTCAATGCAATCTTCAGAAGTAAAAAACGTTGACAGTAGCATGACTTCACCATTGCTAAGCTAAAGGCAGCTAATGTTCGACACTATGAAGTTTAGTCGTCTCATTTAGTCACTTGTGAACAACCGCTTTTATCACTGGGGTATTTACTGACATATTTTCTTTTGCAGAACAAAACGTTACAATCTCTTCAGTTTGTGTTAACCACAGACCTTATTTTTGGCATTTAACCAAAAATGTGTTTGCTGTGACCAACACATCTGGAAATCAACACTTACTTGCAGCTAACAAGAGTCTTTAATAAGATTTTTAAAATGTAATTGTTTCTGGTGAAATGGTAACGTGTGTACCTGCAGCACAATGATCATAGTCCAGAAGACATAGAATCCAGCCAGGGCGGGAGAAGTCTCCGTATCCACCTTAAAGACCGGGTCTTTGAGGTTCTTTAGCCAGAGGCCGTGACCTGAAACAGCAAACACTGTGAGCAGATACAGACTGAAGCTGGTCTTTTATGCTCCACATGTTCTTATACATTTCTCTCCAGTTGAATAAAAGCGAAATGTCTTCACGTTGCTCTAGTCACAGTTAGCATGATATTTCCTGTAGTTATAGTGAGCAAACTACGTTCATTTTCTCTACAATTAGCATCACATGTTCAATTAGTCTGTTATAGTGATCATCAAGTTCATTTTTTGCATAAATGTTAGCACATTTGTTCACATTGTATAGTAGAGCTAGAATAGTATGTTCACGTTTCTATAGTTAGCATAATAGGTTCACTTTTCTTAAAGTGGACCTATCATGCTATATTTGAAACATTCAAATAATAATCAGCTCCGCTGCAGCCCCGTTTTTAGAGATTTGGGTATGGAGGAAAAGAGAGAGGGTTGTGTTTTCTGATACTTGGTGAGTTCCCTGACACACCGGGGACACATATTCATGTATAAAAGACGTACAAAAGTGCATTTTGCATGATAGGTCCCCTTTAAGTTATAGTCAGCATGATATGTTCATTTTTCTTTAGTTATAGTTAGCATAAAATGTAAACTTTTCTCTAGTTATAATTAGAATAAACCTTTTGTCAAGTAATAGTTAGCAAAGCATGTTCACACTTCTCTAGTTACAGCTAGCATTATTTGTTCACTGTCCTCTAGCCATATTTGGAATCATTTGCTGACTTTTCTTAAGTTATGATATTTAGTAAGCATAGGTATATGTTTATTTATTTATAATCAGCAAAATATGTTAGTTTTCTTTCTAATCAGTCAGCATAATATGCTCTGAGACACAGTAGTCACAGCCTCTGCCCAACCCACACTGAAGTTGTTCCGCTCCTTCAACCAACAGGAAGCCGGTAATCCTCATTATCATAGAGACAGATAAGATCTACCCTCTGACTCATACCATCTTTGGTCCTATCAGTATCTGAAGGAGAAATGTTTACAACATGATTTACACATATTCAGTAGTAAGAAGGGGTCATCTCTAAAACAGCTAATCTTCAGACAAGGCCAAATGCCGCTGTCTGTACAAGAACATGAACTGAGGCGAGGACAGAAGTGGATAATTGATAGAAGTAGACATGTTAAATAATTATCTCTCATTAATGAGTCTAATATGTTAACTTTTCTCAAGTTACAGCAGCTGAATGACACAAATGTGGTTTTAGTGACTGATGTAACATGATGAGGGCTAGCACCTAGCAACAGAAAAACAGCTAACAAGAATCTAAATTACTTAAACAATGGCACAATTCAATAAAAAATGTGAGCAAGCAGACCAACATGCTTTCCACAGCACCTTGTATGTTGCTTAACATTCAGTGTTTCCCACAGAATTTGATTCTATTTGTGGGGGCACCGCACCGCACGCACCGCCCCCCCCCCCCCGCCCCGCCCAACGTTCTTGTTGCTCTGTGTTGCGTTGGTTAATGAGCTGAAACACACCGGAGTTGAGGATCTTGTGGGATTTATTTCTCCCAAAAATATAATTTACAATTAGCGCATTTAGCAGAGCACCCTTATTCCAAAGCGATTCTTACCAGTGACCAATTACAGGGACATTCTTCCCTGGATTAACCGAGGGCTAAGTGCCTTGCTCAAGGGCAACACCCTATC